TTCCGCGGCTTCACGCCCATGGTATGGCACAGACGCTCTGGCAACCTGGTCGTTATTGCAGCGTATCTGGAACCCCGCAGGCAGATCGAGGGTGCAGTGCACGATAAGCTACTCTCGCTGGGAGCCTTCGTTACTATGCTCACGGACCCTTGGATCATCCTGGCCGATTGGAATATGACACCTGAGCAGCTCGCGGCTACAGAGTGGCCCGCCAAATGGAATGCTACCATTGTGCGAGCGCCTGGATCCGCCACGTGCGACAAGGGCCAGGGACTCACGCTTGATTTCGCATTGGTCAAGACTGGCATCGAGCACACGATCTCCATTCGCCAGTGCCCCACCGTACCCTGGGCCACCCATGTTGGCCTTGAAGTTCGAGCAGGCAGTGCAGACCCCTGGTGGTATCAGTCGATCCATACCCCCAGGGCATTCCCCACAGTGGACAGACCCAGGATCCCGCCAGACCCCAACAGCAAGACCGCCATCAAGAAACGTAAAACAGCAGAAGCTCGAGCAGCACGCCTACGCGATCTACCTCCTGAACTCCAACAAGCAGCAGCACAGCCCCAGCCACAGGACGAGCCCGCAGCACAGGAACCTATCCCTTATGCTATCCCGAGGGACCTGTGGGAAGAACAATGGCAGCAAGCGGTGCCCACGCGTTGTAAGCAGCCTCACGCGCACTTCGTGTGCACACACTGGGTGCACGACGCCGACGACCTCAACCTCAAGTACGCCAAATGGGTCACGGCGCTCGAGAACACCATGATCAGCCACCACCAGATCGACCCGAAGGAAGCCACAGCATACACAGGCCGAGCCCAAGGCTACCAGTTGTCTTGGAAGAAGACGGCCGCCGCCCCAGGCCGCGTACACGTACATGACCCTCAGTCGGAATGGTGGGCAATCACGCTCACCCTCATCAAGCGCTACGCTGCGCTTCACGACAAGCCCAAACACACAGCGCTCATGCAGCAGCAGGCCTCCATCATCCAGCAGCGCGCGGACCGCTTCAACACTCACTTTCACGACCTCCAGTTCGAGAAGGACGAGGGCACCATTTTCCGCTGGTTTGCACTCGTCTGGGCCCCGCACTTGGACAATGAGGACACCGACGACTTGGTCACTATTACCGCTACTTGGGCCTCCAGAGCGCTCTCCGCCGCTCTCGCCAAGTCCAAGAGGGCCTACGGTGCTTGGCTCGCCAAGCAATGGAAGCACCGCCCTGGAGTACTACACGCCCATGTCAAGCCAGCGCCCGTACGTCACATCGAGGCCTACACAACCAACCTGACCATCGCCGACCCCGCCGTTATCATGAACAACAAGAAGCTACCATGGCAACAAGTATGGCAAGCCACCGAGACCCCCGACGACATCCTACAGGCCCTGTCAAAGGCCAAGGCAGCAGCCGCTCGCCAACCGCTCGAGCCCATCACAGCCGAGATCGTACACCGCTTTCACGGCCGCATACCACCCAGTAAAGCACATGGAGTTGACGCCCTTGGACCTCGCGACCTCCATCGACTACCAGAACCAGCAGTCGAAGCCTATGCGGAGATCCTCAACTCAGTAGAGCAAGCAGGCATCTGGCCACTACAAATTTCAGGCACTATTGCAGCTCTCGCCGCCAAGAAGGCTGGAGGCGACAGGGTCCTCGGCATGCTACCTCATATGGCCAGACTCTGGTCTCGCATCAGATCGACTGCATCTGCATCCTGGACCCAAGGTCTGGACGACTTTTGGACTACAGCCATCAAAGGCTCCTCAGCTCTCCAGGCCGCCCTACATAGGGCCTTGTTAGACGAGACAGCCTCAGCACTTGGCATACAGTCAGCCACGTTGCTACTAGACATCCAGAAGTTCTACGACAATATCAAGCTCGCCAACCTCATTATGGTCGGCCTCAACTGCGGCTTTCCCCCCATCATTCTACTACTGGAAGTGCAGCTATACCTGGCGCCCAGATTCTTGCGCAGTCGAGAATGGGTGAGTATACCTATCTTCGCCTCCAAAGGCATCATTGCAGGCTCCCCTCACGGCACGACCTTGGCACGACTCATTTTACTTCCTATTCTACGGCAAGCCCAAGCTCAGGCGGAGCTTGCCCAGATGTGGACCTTCGTGGATGACACTGTTCTTCGAGTCGAAGGGGTCCTACGCACTCTACAGAAGCACCTCCCCCGTGCCGCCAAGACGCTCTGCGACGGTTTAAAGGAGTTCGAGCTGCCTATCTCAGACAAGACTGTCCTCATCGGCTCCACCCCCAAGGTCCGCAAATCGCTAGCCAAGAAGTTGCGGCAGTACGACGTCCCAGTTACTGCGACCGCCACGGCCGTCGACCTCGGGGTTGACGCGGCTGCGGCTACTCGACGGGTACAAGCCAAAGCCAGGAAGCGACAGAGCTCAGCCGCAGCTAGGTTTCGCAAGATACACCGACTACGGAGCACTGCACAGCAGGCTCGAATCTCAGCAGGACTGTGGCGTACTGGAGCTCTCCCCGAAGGAGTATTCGGTCATCAGGTGCACGGCCTCGCTCGGCTCGCTCTACTACGATGGCGGCGTCAGGCTGCCATTGCGGCCGCGGGAGCAGCAGCGGGCCGATGCCTCACCTCCCTCCTCGGCGCCACCTTCGACGGCATGGACCCCGGAGTTTCCCTAAGGATCGAATTCATCGAGGCTTGGCTTCAGCACTGGATACGCCACCCGAGCACGCGCGCCAGGATCATCAGAGCATGGCCAAGGATCAAGACCACCTTGCTCGCCGCAGGCCCCAAGCTGTGGTGCAGGGTCAAGGGGCCCACAGGCGCGGCCATCGCGACCCTGCTGGAGGCCAGTTGGGAGCCGACCTCAGCAACCACGTGGAGGCGTACGAAGGACGGCTACATCGAGGAATGGAACCTCCCCCCTGCCGATGACCCTGACCTCCTCGACGCCGACATCCACGCAGTATTGCAGGACCTCAGCGAGGATTTACACAGGCTCCTCTGGACACAGGCCGCTACGCATGACCATGGTGACACGCTGGCTGGAGGCGCGGACATGGTCACTATCCGCATTGAACAAAGGAGGCTCCTCGCAAACGGTGACTTCAGCGACTGGGCCCTCAACAACACCATCATCAGCGGAGGACAATGGACCAGAGACCGCCTCCACAACGCGGGCTACCAGATCGACAAGAACTGTGACCGATGCAGCGCGGGAGTTCCTGAAACCTTGTTTCACCGAATGTGGCAGTGCGAGGCGAATGTGGGACCTGAGTTTGAGGCCAGTGACAAGTTACTACCGCGAGCCGTGGCGGGGGTCGATGCCGACCCCGCCCTGTGGCTCCGTGGCATTCCCTCTGTCGCTCTCACTACGCCCGCGTTCGAGCCATTGACTGGGAGGGACGGGTGGGAGTTTGTTGGTGCGGTGCGGGAGGGTCTGCCGTCGTGGGAAGGAGCTCGTAACGCTGAGGGCGAGTTGTTTCTTTTTGGTGACGGGTCTGGCGGCGCCTTTTCCGACGACGTCAGGCGACGGCGTGTTGGTTCTGGCCTCGCGGCCCTCCGATGGGACCCTCCCTCGGCCTCCTGGACCCTCCACGCGGGCCTCCTCGCCCCCCTCCCAGGCCCCCGCCAGACCGTCCCAAGAGGCGAATTGCATGCGTTTTGCCTGGCACTGGAGACGTGCCAGCAGGATTTCACGTTTGTTACAGATCACCTAGCCCTGCAGCGCGGCTGGCAGAATGGCAGATGTCTCAGACCTGGCAGCCTTAGAGGCAAGAATAAGAATGGGGATCTCTGGCTGAGAATTCGGCACCTCGTGCAGGATCGATCTGGCGGCGGCTCTTCGGTCACGGTGCTCTGGACCCCATCTCACGCCGATCCCCTGACTTTGCATGGTTTCCAAAAATTTCTTGCTCTCGGCAACCAGCATGCCGACGAGCTCGCGGGAAGCGCGGCCCACAAGTCGGCCACCCTTGCCCTCCCGCCTGTCCCCAGGACCGATGAATACGACGCTATTGCAGCCATCGTCCGTCAGAGGGCACGACTGATCTTACGTTCCTTAGGCAAGAATTCAGAGCCTCGAGGACTGTGGCCAGAGAGGCAACCCACCCAGGAGGCAGCCCCTCGCTCTCTGTTGCAGACCGCGATCGCGGCTTCTCAGCACAAATTCGAGCGGTGTGCAGACAAATGGAGATGCCCTGCCTGCCTCATCATCGTTGACGCTTGCCACGTTATTCCAGCTGCCGCCACAGAGTGTGTGCCGCCTTGCCCCCTTCCCGAGTTTGCTGCGTGTGGCGAGGTGCTGTGGTCGAGGGGTCCCCGCGTGATCAGTGGCAAGGCGATTCACCCCTCCCACACGTTGGCCACCATCCCCAAGTGGCAAATGTTCTTCTGTGTGAAGTGCGGCCATACGGCCACGCACCAAGTTAAAAGCCTACTTTTGCCGTGCCCTCTCTCCCACCAAGTGGGAGAGCGCAGGGCCCTGGGACCCACCGGCAAAGGCCTCGAGAACCTCAGCAGGATCAGGCGAGGCCTCCACCCGTCCAGATCGGGTCCCAGCAAGTCAGTGCTAGAGGCTTTGCACGTTTCGGCAGCCGAAGCCGCGATCGGTTCCTACGCGGCGGGTGCTGCCTCCGAGTAAATTGTGAGGCCAGGGGGGCCTGTCGCGGTGGGCCGTGGGATGTCGCCCCCCACTGCCCTCCGAGAAATACTGGATGGCCCCCCTGGCATCTCTGGGTTCCGAACGGACTACGTCCGATTGCTCCACTCCACTCCTCCTCTTCAGTATTCACGATCTCCAGTACACGTGTTGCAAAACCGCCGTTGACACAATGGCTCAATGAATGCCCCCCCTCGGTTGGCGGCGGCGAAGCGACAACCAACCCACAGAGAGGAACTGGCGCTCCTCCTCCCGTCCTCTTCTGGGCAGGCGTATATCCGCCACCGTGCTGCTGGCACTGAGTGGAGCCCCTCGGAGGCGGCCCGTTCTAGCCCCAGCCGCCCCCGGCGGCAGAGGACGCTCCGCTGGCCGCCGAGGGGGCGGCGCGGGCCGACTGGCAGTGCGGCGGCTGCGACTACGCCAACTTCGCGCGGCGGGGGCTGTGCCGCAACTGTGGTGCGCCGCCTCCAGTCAGTATCGCTTACGTTTTACCCATCCCCATCGGGCCATGGTATCTCAGCCCCGCTGTCGCACCGCCCCAGTTGGGGATACACCCCTCGCGCCCCGGTGGAGACAAGCTGTGCCCACATCTAGGGGGGCGAATCGGCCAGTGGGGCCCAGGCCACGCCGGTGGGGATAGGGATCGCTTGAGCGATGCTCACGACCGCCGCCTCCCTCTGGCCGCGGCGGCGGCGGCGAGGTCTGACGAGTGCGAGGGGCGAGGGCGGCGAGACAGCGGAATGAAGGAGGAGGAGGAGGAGGAGGAGGAGGAGGAGGAGGAGGAGGAGGAGGAGGAGGAGGAGAATGATGATGATGATGATGATGATGATGATGATGATGATGATGATGATGATGATGCTGATGATGATACTGGTTCTGCTGATGATGATGATGATGCTGATGCTGCTGATGATGATGATGAGGAGAATGATGATGATGATGCTGATGCTGATGATGATGCTGATGCTGATGCAGACGATGATTGTGATTGTGATTGTGATGATGAGGAGGAGGAGAATGATGATGATGATGCTGCTGCTGATGATGCTGATGCTGATGCTGATGCTGATGATGCTGATGCTGATGCTGATGCTGATGATGATGATGATGTTGATGATGATGATGATGATGATGATGATGATGATGATGATGATGATGATGATGATGATGATGATGATGATGATGATGATGATGATAATCATGATGATACTGATGATGCTGATGCTGATGATGATGATGATGATGATGATGATGATGATGATGATGATGAGGAGGAGGAGGAGGAGGAGGAGGAGGAGGAGGAGGAGGAGGAGGAGGAGGAGGAGGAGGCGAGGGCGGCGAGGAGGACGACGGCGGGGATCGGCGTGACCCCAACATACTGATATGAAGTCGGGCGCGTCCCTCTACAGGAGGAATCTTCAGAACAAGTTTTTGAGAATAGTCTGGGGGCGATTCTTGGAGTATTTTCGGTTCTTTTTGGAATCTATTTTTGACAGTTTTTTATTTTTCGTCCAAAATCCGCCTGGAGGGGGACATGCCCGACCTAATACTAATACTATGTGTGCGTCACCCCCCTCCCCCAGGGGCGACGCGCGCACCGAGAAATCTTGTAGTATATGCGTCGTGGCCGGCGCTTTCTGGCCACACCGCTCGGGAAACAATCCGCTACATGACGGGTATACTGTACGTTTCGGTCCGACGCGCGCCTCCAAGCAGGACGCATAGTACTAGTACGTCTTTGTGCTTGACATGCCGCAGCCGCGGCGCGCTGGGCTCCGTCGTCGGCGTCGTCGTCGCCGGCGTCGTCGTCGTCGTCGTCGTCGTCCGCCAGCGTCGCGCGGCGGGCAACGTGCCGCAACTGCAGCGCGCTGGGCGTTGTAGTCGTCAGCGTTCTCGTCGTCGTCGTCGTCGTCCTCGCGGTGGCGTTGTCGTGGGCGCAGACTGGCATTCGCTGTCAAGGAGCCAAGCAGTCTGGGATTCTTACCGATCGTGTATCGATCGAGTGTCAAGAAGTAATGTCCGCTACACATCTTGATCCTGCTGGTGGATGCCGCGCCCACCTCGTGAGCGCAGGACATGTGTATCTATAGTCGTAGTGGTGGTGGCTATCCTTTCGTCTTTGTCGTCATCTCTGCCGTCCTTGTCGCCGTCTCTCATCCTCTTGCGCTTTGGTTTCTGTATGTCCTGAGCCTCGGAAGAGCCACGAAATGGTGATCTTATGATAAGATGTCTCTGACCTGCAGCACCGTGATTCTGTCCTCACGCGGGCCTGGTCTCGACCCCATCCCCTCGGGCCAGCTTGTCGCCGCGGGATGGTCCCTGGAAGCCAGAACAACGACTGGACGGCCGCAGCGACTGCTCTTCCTATGCGGGGTCCCTTGAGGCTGGGCGTCAGGCTCGCCCCCTGGACCTGCCCCGGGGCGTGCCCCGACCAGGATCGCGAGGCGCGTGCCGGCGTGGCGACGAGGGGACCCCCAGGGATACTCAGCGAGGGCGACGGCGTCAAGATGTTTTCGTGGCGCCCGCCGAACACCGCTCACAAGAGATGAGCGACGCAACAAGAATCGGGGCAGTCTGCGCCGACATTCGTGCGCTACAGTGGAGGCCATGCCAAGAAACACCCTGCGTGCCTCCAGGGTGCCCGGGGTTTCGTGGGCTTCGATGGCTTTGCGATGGAGAAAACGTGACGTTGCCACCCCAAACATCGATGGACGCCCTGGGGTCTCAGGGCTGGGTATCTTGTGGAAGGCTTCTTGTGGACGGGTTTCTTGTGGAAGGTTTCTTGTGGAAGGTACCTTGTGGAAGGTTTCTAGTGGTCGGGCCCCCGGTGTAGTGGCCACCCCGTCAGGCCGCGCGCGAGCGCCTTCGTCTCCACTGGTGCCGCGCCGACTTGCCCGCGCATAAGCCACTGCGTAAGGTTGAGTCGGGCACGTCCCTCTACAGGAGGAATATTCAAGAATAGTCAAATAATGATATGGGGACGATTTTTCTACTTTTTTTTGTGTTTTTTTTTTGTTGTAAAATCCGCCTGTAGGGGGACACGCCCGACCTAAGCGTAAGTTCGCTATGTCCAGGACGGACAAAAACCCACAGAGACGCAACGAATCGTCGAAGCCCAGGAAGATATAGGAGAATATGGACAGTGTGGGGGGGAAGACGATAACCCGGAAAGTAGGGACAGAGAAGTATGGGGAATCCTGGGATCTGCGTCTGTTTACTCGTGTGCCCCTGGGCCCCGTTATATGTCGTTTCGCGCAAGACCCTCCTCTGCTCCTCTGCCCAGACGGAAGAGCCCAGCGACGGCACACGCCGCCCCCGCGCCCACGATCCGCCGTCCGCCTCTTCACGGCCGCGCCCGGCCAGAGGGCAGCGTGGACCGTATCCCGCCTGGGGATGCGCGGGGGGGCGGGCGGGCGGGAAGCGGGCCTGGCCTCCCTCAAGGGAGGCCTCCGCGACAACAAAAATCCGCACATCCGCGGGGCCGCGGCCCAGAGGCCCAGCCCTGGAGGCCGCGGATGCAGATTTGTTTTTCGCCCATGACTAACGTTGTCCCCGAGTCTCCGTGACAGTCCGCCCGCCCGTTTCAGCGTCCCTTCCGCCCGACCCGCTTACGTACGGCAGGCTCGTGTCGTGTCGAGCCCAGCGTCCCGCTCGGCTTCTGCCAGGCCTCCCTAAAGGCAACGATAGGGGGGGGATAGGCATAGGGGGGAAGCATCGACCTCCAATCGCCCACTGACCGCCGACAGGGGCCCCATAGCCCCAACCTGCTCAGGAAGGTGCGGATTCACGATCGCAGGCCTATCGCCGATCTATCGGCGATGCATCGTCGATTCCAGGTCGATGCATCCCCCCCTCTGCCAGTCACCCCCTACCGTTGCCCCTCCCTCCCAGGGGGGGGCGAGGAGGGCGACGACAGAGACAGAGGCCGAGGCAGGGAGCGCAGAGGGCCTGCGCGCAGTCCAGCAGGGTGCGCTCGATGGCCACGCGCAGCTGGCCCGCCTCCACCTCGCAGGGGCCGCTTCCGCCGCTCCCTCCGGCGGAAGCTGCCAGGGACACTCCACGAGCGCACAGCACCGCATCCCGAGCGGACCCGGGCGGAGCAGAGACCGAGACAGGGAGCCTGACAGGAGGAGAGACTGAGGGTGCATAGCCACGTCGCTGCAATCGCGCTGCAACCAGCACCAGCACAGAAGTGCCGTTGTGCCCAGCAAGGTGGCGCTCAGGAGGTGGTAGCACCAGCGGTGACGCAGGGCCCCGACTTTGTGCATTTCGGCGCACCGACATTTCCTGTGCCATCCAAGAAAACGATGATGAGGCCGGGAGACAATTTCCAGCGACGCATTGTGAATAAAGCGACAACGCGCCACAAAGACGAGACACCCAAACGCATGGACTCTCACCAGACAAGCACCGCCCCAGCTGCGAGGGGCCGGGGGCTGCGGCCACTCGGGGGAAATCGGTGGCCTGGCAGAGATGGATGGCCGAACCCGCAAAAAGCCGCCGCAGGACGGTCGGTGGGAACCCGCCGTCGGCAGAGTGCGGTGTGGAGACACCTAGCACTCACAGCTCAGCCCAAACCATGTGCTTGCCGAATCGGGAACGCCGCCGTTTTCAATCCTACGGCAGGTTCGTGTCGTGTCGACAGGCGGCGGCCCCAGCGCGGGCGTGTAAGGTCGAACGCCGCCTGTGGCTCGGAATCGGCCCAGCTTTGAGCGATCCGGCATTCTTGAAAGGTCCGATCATTCAAGTTTGAGTGGTCCCCGCGGTGTCAGGAGCCAACGCCAGGGTCGACACCTTGTGATCCTGCCGTGCGTGCTTCCCTTACCGTTCCTCCACACAAACATGCAGTGGTTGACTCCGATGAGCCACCTTCTGGTACCGACCGGTCCTTCTAGGGGGACCAGCCCGCCCGACCATGGTGGAAGCCACCGCCGAGCGACGTGTGCACGCCCCGATGACTTTGCTCCAGGGGCGTCGCCGTCCTGCCTCCCCGCTCACCCCATCCCCCGGGGGAGAGGTCCGAGGGCACAAGCGCCCCTGCGTGGATGCTGAACGAAGAGGGCTGTACGCTCCCGCGCCCGAGCGCCGAACAGAGTCCAGAAGCAGTTCCAGCCACGCCCTGAAAGCGAGACCCAACGCCACAAGCACAACGAACCCATCCCCGCCACGTGCCCGAGAGGGGGCGGCCCCCCCAGGGGGGGCACGGGTTGGCCGTGTCCCATCCCTCGAGTAGGGGATCAACTGCAGACTTGAGTTGCCCCGAAATATTGACTTCCGTCGCATCCGGAAAGGAAGAAGTACGACGCTTGCGGACTGCTAGGACCTACGGTATTCCTTCGGCGATCCGACGAACAAGAGTCAATTCTGGGGTAAGCCGCTTATGTGTATTCGATCTCCTGCTCGAATCCCGCCGCCACCCATCCGTGCCCACGCGTGCCGCGGAAGCCCGGGCGACGCGGAGCCAACGTCCAGCGGGGAGGGGGCGAGCCGCTTGGGAGCTGTGTGCTCCCCAGGGGGGGAGGGGGGGGGGGGGGGGGGGGAGGGAGGAGGGGGAGGGGAGGAGAGGAGAGGGGGGGGGGGGGAGGGGAGAGAGGAGGGAGAGGAGGGGGGGGAGGAGGGGGAGGAGGGTGGAGGGAGCAGGGAGAGCGGAAGAGGGGAGGGGTCCAGTCTTCAGTCGGGCCTGTCCCTTTGTAGGAGGAATATTCAGAAATAGTCAACACAAATATTCAGGGGACGATTTTTCGACTGTTTTGAGCATTCGTTTTTGGTACTTTTGGGTTATTTTTAATTTTCTGCCCGCAATCCGCCTGTAGGGGGACGTGCCCGACCTAAGCCTAGTCCAAACATGGCCTGCCCCCCCCCCCCACCCACCCCCAGGTGCGGCTGCGTCAATGTGGAACAGGAGGCCTATGTACCTGCATCTGTGACACGATGCCCCACGTTAGTGAAGGCGTTCAGATCGTCACTGTCGGCAGCCACGTCGGTCCCAGCCTCGGGGGTTCCAGCCGCACGTCTGATGACCACGTCTGCTGCTTGCAATGCCGGCTAAACCGAGACTCGATGGGGTACAATTCGAATAGGACAAACTTGCATGAACGTAAACTTTTCGGATCTCCGCGCGGATTTCTTGGATCGGAGCGGGACCCCCCTCCTTGGCGCGCTGAGCTCGCCAGGGGCGGCGCCATCGGGGCCCAGCGCCGATCCAAGAAATCCGTGTGGAGCTCCGGAAATTTATGCTTATAAATTTCTGGAATCCCCCTAACAATTTAGGCCTCACAGATAGTGTCAGAGTAGATGGGGTCGGAGCATCGCGCCGCATCGCAGATGCATCGGCGATGCGGCTCGATGTGGAGTCCGATCTTCTCCACGCCGACGTCGCCAGTGTATCGCCGACTTCGCCGATGCATCGCCGATTCGCGGCGATCTTCTGACCCCATCTACTCCGACCCCATCTGGTAGGCGCCGCGACTCGGGCCCAGCGCCAATCCAAGAAATCCGCGCGGAGCTCCGAAAGTTTCTGCTTACGACGTTTCTTTCTTCCCCTAACAAATCGAGCAGGGGATCGACGACATCGTGGACCCCCGCGACTTGTTTGGTACGCCGAACCAGCGAAACATGCATACCATTGCTTGCAGATCCGAGGAGCAGGTATAAATTTCGGGGTCAAGCAATTCTTCACCACCTACCAAACCACCCCAACCCAACCCGAAGGCCTCAGTTTGCCCTCCATTTCCAGTGGGGGGGGGGTCGGGGAACATCGAGAAAACACATCTGGAACCCGTACCCCCCCCAACCCGAAATTCGGGTCTTCGGGTTGGGTTGGGGTGGTCTGGTAGGTCAGTCAATTCTGTAGCCGGTTTCCCCTGCTCGACAGCAGGAGCGGCGAGGGTCGCCGTGGCCGACCTCGCCCCGTGGCGGCGCGCGCGGGCTGCGGCCGCCGCAGGCCGTCGCCCTGCCAGCGCCGCCCGCGCGCCCGCCCGCCCGGCGTCGTGCCGACGCGCCGGCTGACCCCGCCGCGGGCGTGCGAGGACGATCGGCCACGCGCACGGGGGGGCTTCTTGGAGTCACCCCGCTCCTCCTCCTCCTCCTCCTCCTCCTCCTCCTCCTCCTCCTCCTCCTCCTCCTCCTACCACTCCCCCAGGAGGCACCCCGCTTCTCAGGAGGCGCGGGCCCTGTCTGTAGACGTAAGTGAGGCTGGCGCTCTCCAAGAAGCGGCCTCCTCCTGAGAAGCCTTCCCCCTCCCGCTGCCCCCCTCTGCGCGCCGCCAAGCACGGCAGGTCTGCGTCGTGCCGACGCGGCGGCGACTCCGGCGCGGGCGCTCGAGGAGGAACGCCGCTGGTGGCCGCAGCGAATCCCGCCCACCTGGATCGATCTGGCGGTTCGTAGGTGCGCGAGCGTTCGAGGTCGAACGATCCCCGTGGTTCCAGAGGCCAGCGCCGGGGTCGTCACGTCACGAATGCGCCGCAGGCGCTCGGCGGCCCGCCGTTCAGCGGGGATCGGCGGCCCGCCCGGGCCGTCCCCGCGCGCGCGCGGAGGCGCGTCACGCAGCGGGCCCGCGGCGCCGCCGCCCGCCTGCGGCCGCGGCGGCGCGGACGCTGCCGCCGGGGACCGCCCGAGGGGCCGCGGGCCCAGACGGCGACGGCGACGACGTGGGCGACGACGCGGACGACGACGTCGATCTGGGCGACGAGGACGACGCGGAAGTGGACCTTGGCGACGGCGACGACCTGGGCGTCGACCTGGGCGACGACGTGGGCGAAGACGACGAGAAAGACGAAGGCGGTGGCGGCGGCGGCGGCAGTCACAGCCGCCTCCTGCTGCTGCTTCTCCTCCTCCGCCTCCTCTTCTGGAGCCCCCGCGCCAGTCTCCTCCCTCCTGCTTCCGCCTGCCAAGGGCGGGGGCGGTGTCCCCAGTGAGCCGATGGAGTGGGGTGGGGGGGGAGGGACGGGAGATCGAGCGAACGCAGGGCGGGAGGGGAGGGGGGAGGTGGAGGAGAAGGAGGAGGAGGAGGAGGTGGAGGAGGAGGAGGAGGAGGAGGAGGTGGAGGAGGTGGAGGAGGAGGACGAGGAGTAAGGCCTCGATTCTCTCGGAGGGGGGCGGGGGATGGGCGTTGGCGGCGAAGTGCCCGCGGCCGCAGGAGCGGCGGGCTCCTCTGGCCGACGCCCCCCCTCCCGCGCTCGGCCGGGCGTGGCCTGGGCGAGGCCCGGCCCGGCGCCGAGGCGCTCCGTCGCCGCAGGGCCGTGCAGCTTCAAGTCGGAAATGTGCCTCTACTCGGGCCGAGCGAAAGGGGGGGATAGGGAAAGGGGGGGTTACGAAATCTGCTGCATGCAGCTGGTTTCGGCCCCGCCGCCGGGCCCATTCCTCGATACATGGGCGCCTCCCGGCGCCGGGAGGCGCCGGGAAAATTAGCTACGTGAGCTGATTCTCACCCCCCCTTGCTATCCCCCCCTTTCGCCCGGCCCGATCTGCAGGAAGATTCAAAAATAGTCAAAAAATAGTCTGGGGATGGTTTTTTCGACTGTTGAGAATTTTTGGAGTATCTTGTAATTTTCGCTCGAAATCCGCCTGCAGGAGGACATGCCCGACCTGAGCGTATCTCCTGGCGCCTCCTGCTTTCTCCCCTGCCTGCCGTTGCTGTCCCTGCTTCTTCTCATCGCCGCTCCCGGGGGCCAGATGCTGGAGACCGCCGGGACGCCGCGCGATCGGCTGCCGAGCACAAGCGATGGGTGTATGATGGGCGTTCTCGGACCGCCTCCTCTCGCTGCCACGGTCGCGGTAATCAAGGCCACATCGGTCCATTGCTGAGTCCGGGGTGTCTAGTAAGAGCGCCCCCCCACCGTCAAGCCATCCGATGGCCCGTTCCGGCCTCCTCGCGCGTACCGAACCCACGCTTTGCGAGCCCCCCCCCGCCGTGCGATCCATCCATCAGTTTTATTGAACACATCGGAGCGTGCCTCTCCCCCTCACCCTCCCCTTTCTGTTCCTCTTCCTCCTCCTCCTTCTCCTCCTCCTCCTCCTCCTCGTCCTCCTCCTCTTTCGTTTTTCGGAGCTTAGCTGGCGGTGGCGCTTTGCCCTGTCGCCGTCGACTTGTGCTCCTCTCTCGGCGGCGCAGTCTGTCTGTGCAGCCTGCTGGAAGCGCCCGCGCTTGGTCCATCTTCCAGCCTCTTTTGTGATCGCCGTGGTGCACCTCCGTCTGTGGCAGCCTGAGTTTCGACCTGCTCTTGGCAGGCCTCTCGAGGAGCTTGGCTTGGAACTCCATCCTTCTCCTCCTCCTCCTCCTCCTCCTCCCTCTCCTTCTCCTCCTCCTCCTGCTCCTCCTCCTCTTCCTCCTCCTCCTCCTCCTCCTCCTCCGCCTCGTCCTCCTCCTCCTCCTCGTCCTCCTCGTCTTCCTCCTCCTCCTTCGCCTTCTCCTCTTCTTCCTCCTCCTCCTCCTCCTCTCCCCTCCCGCGCGAGGAGGTGGCGGCGGACGGGTCGAGCGCCTCGGCGCCAGCGCTCGCGCCGTCGGAGCGCCGGCAGGCGTCGCTGCTGAGGCCTGGTGCGGAGGGGGGTGGGGGCCGTGCCGTTGCGGCGCCGGACGATGCGTGCATTCAAGAGGGAAAACGCCATAAATACGAACTCTTGGCGCTCCGCGCGGATTTCTTGGATCCGCGCTGGGCCCCCCCAGCGGCGCCTCCGGCGTCGCCCCTGGCGCGCTCCGCGCGCCAGGGAGGGGGATCCAGCGCGGATGCAAGAAATCCGCGCGGAGCGCCGAAAGTTTAGATTTAGGGGCAGACATGTGATTGATGTCCCAGTTGTTCACGCGTGATTCCCTTCGCATAGGAAGTACGGGGGTGCAGGGAGGAGAGGTGTAGAGGGAGGAGGAGTAAGCGGGAACTTGTAACTACCCAGACGGCGACCGTTTAGATTGACATGCTCTTCATACGAAGTTGCTGGATTTCGTATCGACCAGCGCTCCTGCTACGAATGGATGTTATGTGCAGCAGGGAGGAGAGGGGTAGAGGGTGGAGGAGTCAGCATGGGTAGCGCAGGGAGTTTGCACGCAGCATCACCACAGCCTCGCGGTTCAAGGGGTGGGTGATTTGGGACTCCCTTTTCTTTGCGCACCCCACAGGAGCAGCATGGCTGGGCCATGGATACAAGCAGGAAGCCTCTCTGACGGAGAACTGTTGGAGCGGGTCCTCAATACAAGGTTTATCGAAGCTGCCGCGTATGATGACTCCGGCGCGAGTCAGGGCACGTATTTTGCTGCGGTCGTCTCTGCCGACTGTTCCCCCACGGGAGGAGTGGACCTCAAGGCGCGGTACATCGCAGCGTCGGACGATTACTACGCACACTGGATGCGCGCAGGAGGGCACCCCCAGGTCGGAGGTTACCATGTTTGCGGTAGGTCTGGCGGGAGGTGCCGAGGACGTGGTGCCTACGGCAATTCCGTCCACATCGAGTCCTGGAGGCCGTTGAATCGGGAGGACATCGAGAACGACAAGGTTGCGTGGATCACCCGGCCGGCGATCAAGAAGAAGGTCATGGAGGCGCTCACGGAGACCGCAGATGGCATCAGGCCAGAGGATCCTGGGAACCACCGGCCAGAAGGAGCCGCGGCCGAAGGTGCTGAGGACGCTGGCGGGGCCGGCCGTGAAGCCGGCCCGAGGGCCGCCCATTCGGGTGCATCCGACGGCGACTTGTGGGCTGGCGCCGAGGAGTGCGACGATCTACGCGGGGGCGCGCCAGCTCGCCGTGGGCTGGAGAATCTGCGCAGCCAGCTAGAGGCAGGCGCAGGCCGTGGGCGTGTGGATCGCCTCCCGAGCCGCGACCCGCTTCCCCGGCGGCGACCCGTTGGTGAGGCAGGTGCGAGGGGGGGCCGCTCCCTTAGGCGGGGTGGCAACGCCCGCGAGCACGAGCGCAGTCGCCGGCGGCAGGAAAGGAGCCCTCACCGGCCGCGTGGGGCAGCCGAAGGGGGTCGCGGCCCTGGCGGTGACCGCGAACGCAGCCGCCGAGGGGAGGAGAGGAGCTCTCTCCGGCCGCGCCAGGCAGCTGGGGGAGGTGGCGGCCCTGGCTCCTGGACAGGAGCGTGACCAGCAGTACCTCCCAAAGCAAGACGGCGCCGACGGCGAGCGTCCCCGCGGAGCAGCCGAGAGGGACTCTGGTCCAGGCGCGCGCCGGGAACGCACCCGGACGCCGCTGCGCCGTCGCGACGAGCGGGGGGACCGCCGCCGCCGTCGTAGTAGTCGCAGCCGTTCAAGGTCGGAGGCAAGTTTTCACTTGGTCTCGACTTCGGGCGACCGCTCCCGGGGGTCCCAGGAGCGGTTGGTGCGGTACGCACGAGAGCACCAAGGGGAGCTTGCCACTGGGCTGTTGGTCAAGATGGCGAGTGCGGTGACACCCGGAGGCGAGGCGAACAGCGACGCGGAGATCAACCCCGAAGCCCCCCCGGCGGTCGCGAGTGCGTACTTCCTCCGCGTACTCACGACCAGGTACCCGCATCTCTCGAAGAGGAACGCGGGGGACATGGCGCTCATGTGCAAGCTCCTGGACCTCCTAGCGAGGAACAAGCCGAAGCGCGCCATGGACTTCGTGGCGCAGCATCTCAAGGCGCTCGAGCAGGCAGTCGCGGACGGGAACTGGGACCGCGCGCGATTCCTGAGCCTGCTGCCGGACGAGGGCGCCGCGCTCGTAGGCCGGTCGGAGCGGTGCATGATGCGCGCCGAAGCCAGAGCGGAGCAGCAGCTGGCCGGCGGGCGGCCTCACCACCGGCAGAAAGGAACAGGAGAACTGGCGGGGCGATCCCCTCGGCGGGAAGGGTCTGTCGACCTTGCCGAGAAAAGGGAAAGGCAAGGGCAAACCAGGGAAGTGGGCGTGAGACGTCGCGACTCCCACCGCCCCCCCCTGCCTGCCTGCGCGGATGTCGATTCCGCCGCCTTGCCGGCAGTGTCTTCCGTATCCCCTGCGGCCGCCAGGCGCGCCAGGTCGAGTCAGCAAGGCTCCCTTGCCGCCGCGGTGCCTTTAGGCGCGGATGTTGATTCCGTTGCCCCCCTGGACGTCCCGGGGGGAGCGGCCAGAGCGCCGGCGCCGCGGTTTACCGGAGGGGTGGGGTTGCGTCTGGAGGACCCCCCGCGCCCCTCCTTCATGGGTGCGGATGTGGAGTCCGACGCCCTGCCAGGCGTTGAGTCTGGCGGCGGGTTTGCGGAGCCGTCTAAAACGATGGATCCGCCCCGTCTGGCGGCGTGCTGGAGGCAGCCGCCGCCTTGCCTTCACAGCGTACTTACCCCTACTACTTCCAGCGCGCGCAGCACGCCCACACCTACTACTACTGCACTGCCACGCACTACCAGGGCACGTGCGGCGCGGGCGCGACAGAAGGACATACATGCATGCAGACACGTGTGGTTGGACGAATTGGGCAAGTGTGCATACACATCAGACATATGGACACTAATGGAAGATGGCTTACCTACGCTAGATACCCCGCTTGGGCGATACTCCTCCCTCGATCCCCCTTCTGGCACTCAGCCTTCAAGCGACTTGCTTCCAATCCCGCCCTCCGCTGCCCGGGATGAAGCAGTCAAGCTGTCAGCCGAAGCTGGGCGTAGCGACGTACGCACCGCGCAATGCCAAGCAACAGTCTGGTGTATTACCACTGCCGCCAACTTCTTCGCCCAGGCCGCTTGGGTGCCTACCGAGCCGCGGCCCCAACCAGCGGCTGCGTGCGCAGCGCCCGCGTTGACGCGGTCGCAGAGGCGGTCTGTGCGCCATTTTTGGGAGTCCGCGGTGGAGTTCTTAGCTCATTCCGTAAACGCACCGAGCGTGCCGGACTTGAAGCAGGAGTTCCTATTGAGACGCACCGACTACTCGGGCGACATCGTCAGCGTACGACGCCAACTCGTCGCAGACAAGGTTTGTCCAGCTTGGCCAGCGGCAGGCGAAGCAGCCACAGTGCCGGTCACGATGTTCTTGGATGGTGAATTGCTCGACGACGTGGTGGATCCAGCGCGCTGCCTGTTGCCGCCCAGTGAGTGGCCAAACGAACCGCCATGTTCCCGCGTGCGCGCTTCCGACCGCGAGTGGTGCAAGCTCGTGAAGGAGGGCGCGCGCCGGGGCATTTTTACCGAAGTGCCCGACGCAGCTGTTTTTCGCGACTTTGCGGGACGCCCCGTGGTGAATGGGGCCATGGGCATAGACGAGCCAGGCAAGGGGGGGCACTGCGGAGAAACGCTGTTGCGATTCATTTCAATATTTACACCCGTAAACGCTTACATGTGCAAGCTGCGGGGCGACGACCACACGTTGCCATTCGCTACTCTTTTGGCCAGCTGTGTCTTACAGGATGGTGAGGAGTTATGGGGCGACGCGGAACACCAAAAAGGGTGTTTTAACATTTTCTGCTTACCACCCCAGTGGCTTGGATATTGGATGTATTCAAAGAAAGTGCCGGCTTCCGCATTTGGTTCCGATGCGAACCGAATGGCTTGGGTAGGGATTCGTGCGGTCGCCATGGGCTCCAAAGCAGCCGTGTCCATTATGCAACGTGTGATCCGCGTGCTTGTGTTCGAAGAGGCGTGCGTGTCATCAGCCGCGGAACTCCGCCGAGACCGGCCGTTTCCAGTGGGCGATGTCAGTGTAGTGTGTCTCGACGGGTTCGATTTCATCCGCATGGCCCAAACGCGCCTCGACAGGCTGCGGATGGGCGAATCTCGCGAGCGCAGAATTTTTGTAGAAGTGTGTGCGCGGTACGGCATCCCGCTGAACTCAGCCAAATCGCTCGTAGCCAGTCTATTCTCGGTGGACGTCTTAATGGAGATCGCGGGTGGTTGTCGGTATCGCCTGACAAAGCCCACACGCTCGCAATGAAGACAGCATTTTTGGCCAGTCAAGACTCTTGGAGCGCCGGTGCTTTGCAGCACTGGGCTGGCCAGGCGTGTTTCGCCGCTGGGTTCCGTCGCCCCTTGTTCGCAGTGTTGGAGCAGGTCTTCCCTACCATCCAGGCCTCGCTCGCGGGGCCAGTGGAGGCCGACCCATTGGTCATCGACGAGATGCTGGCGTTCGCGATGCTCTTACCTTTGGCTTTTACGAACCTCCGAGCCCCTGTGAAACGCAGCATTTCTTGCACAGATGCGTCGGAGCAGGGAGGTGGCGCAGCGGAAGCCGTCGCCTTTTCGTCAATGCTGCACCCATCCAGGGCGGAAAAAATCGAGGCTCATTTTGCTCGCTTGGCGGGGGAATCCAGTGCCGGGCCGTCGTCGCCCAAGGTCTGCTGCATTTGCTTAGGGGGGCCTCTGAGCTCGGGTGCGTCCGCGGCTTGCCCAGTGTCCTGCGGTGCTGTGATGTGCTGCGTGGATTGCGTGCTTGTCCATAGAACAACGGCCTGCCCGTTGGCAGGCACGCGGTTGCCAGGGTTCCTGGAGGGATTCCCGGGCCCTGAGGCGGAGCTCAGTTGGGCGGTTGCCCAAGCGGGCGTAGACGTGTCTGCCTCGATCGGCCGCGCCGCGCGGCTGAGTCCAGAGGCGTGGTCGGAAGCTGCCCTCGGCAACCTTGCCCAAGAGGCTTCTTCCGTGCACGCAGTGTGGGAGCGCTGGGTTATCCCCCGGGCCACTTTGGGGTGCTCTTGCGCGGCTGTGGACTGGAAGGCGTGCGGGTGTTTCGCTGGCTTTCTGCGCTCCCCGGATCACCCTCAGGGCGTGCCCGGTTCGCTCGTGCAGCGGCGGTCGCAAACATTCAGAGACAAATTCCATGGCCTATACAATAATACGCCGTTTCCGGCATCGTTTGGTGAACGTGGGAGTCTGCGCAATAATGCACCATTGGTGTAGTTTCTTGTGGAATTTTCCTCAGGTCCTTCAGCTGCACAAGCAGGTGTACTTCGAGTGTACAAACTTATACGAGGACCACCCCAGTCAAGCTACCACGTTCTGCGTCCTACATAATTCAACACATTGGCATCACTGCCTCTCTTCCTCTACGGCGGACCCGCCGACCACCTGGTCGAACGCTGCCTTTCGGCAGCTGTACGCACAAGCGGTGCGCGAATCCATCTCGGCAGCACTAGCTGCCACGGTTCCCGCCTCGCCGGCCTATAGGCGCGAGTGGGTTGCAGATCAGCTGGCGCTGTCGCGCCGGAGTCCGCGAGCAGGCAGTTTTTCGGCCGCCGTGCTGGAAACGTACCGTATTCTGCAGGGCATGACACCCGGTGCGGAGCACCAACACCTTCGGAGTATACTCCGGTTGGCTGATACAAGAGGATCCCATGTGTGGCTGGCCGACAGCGAGGTCGCCCACATGGCGCAAATTGCCCCGTATCTGGCATTCGCCTGGCAGTGGTCGACATTTATGTCGTACCCGTGGAAAGTACCTCAACACATAAATATTTTGGAGCTTATTGCGTATTTCAACTATGTCCGGAAAAAGTCTCGCTCTTCGTGCTTTCATTCTTTACGCTTTATCAATGTGTTCGATAGCCAGGTCGCCGCGGCAGTCGTGGCGAAGGGCAGGAGCTCCAGTCGGAGACTCAATCGCCCGCGCCGCCGCCTGATGGCATACGAGCTTGCGTTGGATGCCTACTCGGTGGGATTATGGACAATCTCGCAGTGGCAGTTTGCGGACGCCGCAAGCCGCCTCTGCAAACCCGACAATGACGGGTAGGCCCACCCGCCGGCTCCAGAGGGGAGTCCGGCGATTTACCCATTTGAGGCAAATAGGCATTACAGCAAGAACGTCAGCACGATACCAAAGAGCGCTTCGTAATTTCTTCCATTACCTTCGGACTTTTGACATACGCTTACCACGTTCTCTCACGGAACTCGATTACACCCTAAGAGAATACATCAACTATTTATGGATGGAGGGGGATTCTCACGGGTACGCAACTGACACTGTGTCTGGGTTGGTCCGGTTCTATCCTGGCATTCGCCCCGCTGTCCCTACGGCCCGCCAGTATCTGAGGAATTGGGAAAGTGTTTTGGACCGCAAGCGGGCACTGCCCTTGCATAGGGAACTCTTATGTGGATTGGTCGGGGCAGCAATGTCCTTTCAGCGTCCAGATCTGGCAGCTCTTTTACTCGCTGGCTTTTTGGGCTTACTCCGTACAGCGGAAACAGTATCCCTTACGCCAGCGCAGCTCCATTTCAACCCTGAGGGAAACAGGGTTGTCATCACGCTTCCATACACGAAGACTTCTCAGCGGCATGGGGTCGTTGAGCACGTCTGTATCACGGACCGCGTCGCCGTCCGGGCCTTGCAGTTGGCGTGCCACGGCCGGCAGAGCACCCAACGCCTGTACACGCAGCCTCCGTCGCATTTCGTACGCGAGTACAAGTGGTTGTGCAACCTGTTCGGCGTTACTGGTGCAACGGTCACGCCATATGGCCTCCGTAGAGGCGGTGCCACATGGCTGTGGCTCCTCACAGGATCCCTCGATAGGGTCACGGTCCTGGGTCGGTGGCAACACTCTCGCACAGCACGCATATATATATATATATATATATATATACATACATATATATATAGAGAGACAGCGGCAGCAGAAATGAACGCGTGGAGGCACGATACGCAAGCGCACCGTTTACTATCCCAATCAGCTCAACTTGGCAGGCTTGCTATTTTAGAAGGGTAGTCAGGGCGGAGTGGTTCCCTGGGGGCTGCCGGGGACTGGCCGTCGTGAGGTGGAGCTTTGGATACGGGGTCTGGGGGTTGACCATGTGGTTGGTCAGCCTGGTGCTTCACGGCGCTCTCGCGTCAGACGCGCCCCCTCTCGGAGGCCAGATTTTCCGATTTCCCCCCCTGCGGTGGCATGTGATGCCGTCAGCCCCCGCGCCGCTAGCGAAGGCTAGGTCACTGCGGCGCCAAGTACTCCCGGGGTCGAGGGAGGAAAATGCGTGAATGTTTATGGCGTTTTTTCTTCTTCCAGTGCAGATGCTTGTTAGGAGGTCCGTGCGGGCTTCTCGGATCGGCAGTGGCGGCGGCGTCAGCGCCGAGGCAAGAAATCTCCGCGGACCTCCGAGAGTTTGATGGTCGTGCCGTTGTTGTTCTATTTTTCGCCAGTCTCTTCCCGCTGGCTCCTCCCCCTTCCTTGTCGCTACCGCTTGTGCCCCAGACCATCACGCGCAGGCTCCGCGGGCCTGCGTTCGTTTACCATGTTGGACGTCGTCATACTTCTGCGTATCGTACGTAACACAGATGAGCCGAACCTCGATCAGTTATAACTTGGTTTTGTTGGTGGCCCAGGCTATCAAGGTCGTGGAAACGTAAGACTCGAGTAAGCCGGAACTCGGATTCGCCGACGTTTTTTTGACGAGCGCGTCCAGGATTTTGACGGTTCAGTTTTCGTGGGATGTTTGCAGCGGGAGCTCGCGTCAAATTTCAGATTGGGTCTCGTCATTTTCATGATGGTCCCGTCAGGCCAACTCGAGACCCCCGTACGGAGTTTTGCGTCTCCCCGACAGGGCGTTGTGGTTCCGTCCTCCCGATCACGTATTTCCCCTTGGGCACTGCCGCAGTGCACGCGCGCACCACCATCTCGTATCAATGTGCGGCTGTAACGTTAGCGTAGTGTTCGCGGGCCGTTGTGGCACTCGCGGGCTACTGCGATGTTGCGATGCTCGAAGGCCAACGTGGTTTCTGCAGGCTACTGTGGCCGTTGCGCTTGCGGGCTGTCGCGGCATTCGCAGGATCTGGCATAATATTGCGCACACGCATGGCGCACGCAGACCATTGCTGCCCTGGCAGGGTCCATTTGCTCTTGTTGTTCGGTGAATGTGGATACACTCTGGTGCTCACAGGCACGTTGTGGTGCTCGTGTGCTATAAATTGTGATGATCCTCGAGTTCGGCGGCGCAGGTGGGTGCTGCGAGGGGCGCTTGTGGCGATGGGCGCCGCCGCTGTTGTCTTCGGGGCCATGAAATTCGGAACATCCAGCCTGCGGCCACCTTCACATCCAGCCTGTCGTCCTCCTTGTCAGGCCACTGAGGCACTATCATGGTCCATCATGTTGTTGTGCACACATGCGGCGCTCGCAGCCCATTTCGGTCCTGGCATGGTCAGGCTTCTGGCACCACATGGTCGTCGCAAGCACCTCACGGTGTTCGCATGCTACCGAGGTGGAGCATGATTCTGTTCGCAGCCATATTGCGGCGCTCGCATGCTATTGTGATACGTTCAGTGTGCATCATATTGGCGCGCACAGTATGTGTTACCATGGTAGCGCCTGCAGGCTATGGTGGTAAAGTCTTGCAGGTAGCCTTAGTCGCGTGATATGGTATTCACAGGGGCTGGCGTTCGTCGTCGCTGCCGTCTTTTTTGGCCGCCGCCGTCGTCGTCGTCGCCGTTGCCGTCGCCGTCGCAGTCGCCGGCACCGTCGCCGTCGCCGTCGCCGTCGCCGTCGCCGTCGCCGTCGTCGTCGTCGTCGTCGGCGGTGGCTGCGGCCTCGGCGGCGTTGTCGGCGTCGTCCTCGCCGTCGTTGTTCGCGTCGTCCAGGTGGCAGGCCCTGCCTGTTGAGACGACGCCCCCTCCGCGGCGCGCGGAGCGGTTCTGCGCGCTCAGCGCCGAGGCCTCCGGTGGACGGCCCCCCGGCTCTCCGCCGCGCTGCCCAAGCAGATGTTTGGTTTGTTTGGGTTGGTTTTGTTTTTGCTTTGGGTGGGGTGGGGGGTGATGGAGGGGGTCTTATTCGTATGCCTATACATGTATATATGTTCGCATGGTTTCACATAGACGCCTACGGCGAATCGCCGCCGACCCCTGCCTTCTGGACGCCCATGCGGCCAAAAGTTGGTCCGAAGTTTGGCCAAGCTGTTGGACTATGTATTCTTCAGCCGTTGTGGAAACCAATGGGGGAACACTTGGGAGAGCAAGATAAACGAGAAAGAGAGGGAGGAGAAGGAGGACGAGGAGGAGGAGGAGGAGGAGGAGGAGGAGGAGAAGGAAGAGGAGGAGGACGAGGAAGAGGAGAAGGAGGAGGAGGAGGAGGAAGAGGAGGATGAGGAACAAAAAGGAAGCCTCTGGAGGTCCTCTTTGGACCTTCTTGGGGATGCCTGGCAGCCTCTTGGGGGCCTCTTGGGGGCCTTTCGGTGGCCTCTGGGAGCCTCTGAGGAACCTCTTAGCATTCGGAGGCCGTCTTGGGGCCCTCTCTGGGCAGTCGTGGGTCCCTCTTTGGGTGCTAAAGGGCCGTCTTGGAGGCCTGTGGCTCCGTCTTGGGTCCGTCTTGCGGGCCTCTTGGGGTCCTCTGGGGCCGTCTTGGGGCAATCTTGGGGTCCTATGCGACAGTCTTGGAGCGTTGACTGGAGGTTCTCTTGGAACCCTCCAGGGGCGTCCTGGGGGCCTCCTGGGCCATCCGAAGGTCATCTTGGGGCGTCTTGGGTTATCTTGGCCGTCTTGGAGGCGCATCGGGGCGGGTTGGAGGCCATCTTGGGCCATCTTGGCCGTCTTGGAGGCGTCCTGGAGGCCATCTTGGCCGTCTTGGAGGCCACCCTGGCCCCTTTTTTTTGGAGGCCATCTTTGGGGGAGGAGGCCCGTGCAATAGACCCTGTTTGCGCGCGGCTCTCCGCGGCCGGCGCGACCGGCCGAGACCCCGCTGAGAGTGCAGGAGCACAGCACAAGCAGCCTGACGTCAGGTGCGTCAGGAGCGTTTTCTCTGGCCGTTCTGGGGCCATCTTGGAGGCCCTCCCGGAGGGCGTCTTGGGAGCCTCTTGTGTCAAGTCGGGCCTGTCCCTCTACAGGGGGAATATTCAAAAATAGTAAAAACATAATTTGGGGACTATTGTTTGAGCATCTTTTGACCATTCTGGAGTATTTTTTGAGTATCTTTCATTTTTCGTCGAAAATCCCCCTGTAGGGGGACACGCCCGACTTAACTCTTGGGCCCTCTCGGGCATTCTTGGAGGCTCCTTGGGCGGACTCGGAGGCATCTTGGAGCCATTGGCCGTCTTGGTGGCTTCGTCGGCGGACTTGGAGGCAACTTGGACCATCCTGGGCCATCCGGGAGGCCATCTTGGGCCAACGTGACCATCCGAGAAGCCATCTTGAGCCGTCTTGGAGATTTTTTGTGGACGTTGTGCTCGTTTTGGGGCCTTCCGCGTGGCTGGCGCACTGGGCCGGAGCCCCAGGCGAGAGTTCTTTTAGAAAAAGAGCCAAAACCAAACCAGTAGGATCTAGCACGTCGTGCACACCTGTGGCAAGACCACAGGGGGCGGCGGATCGAACACGCCTACGGCGAATCACCGCCGCCCCCTGCCCTTTCGGAAGCGCCTATGTGGCCGAACGTTGTGGCCAGAGGCCTGCCAAGCTATCGGACCATGTGTTCCCCGAATCGGTTTGGAAAGCTTTCGGGGAACACGTGGGGGAGAATGGACATGAAGAGAAAGAGGAAGAGGCCTCTTGGGCCGTCTTGAGCCGTCGGAATGGCGAGAAGGAACGAATGCCAACATCCTGGAAACACTTAGGGAAAATTCATGATTCTTGGGCTTACGCCACACCGCCGACCCCTTGGGGGGGCTCGCAGCGCGTCGCCTTCGCTCATGTTGTCGGTGTCGGTGCCTTTGGGAGCTCGATTTGAAGCATATTTTGTGCCTCAGAGGTGTCTTTTTCGGCTTCGTGTGCGCCTCTTGGTGGCCTCGTGGTGCCTCTTAGAGGCCTCTTGGTGCTTCCTGTGGCGTTGTGGGGCTCTGTTGGGCCGTCTTGGCTGCCTCTTGGGCTGTCTTAGGCCTTTGTTCGAACTGTCTTGGGTCTCTTTTGGGCCGTTTTGGGCGGCTCTTGGCCTGTGTTCGGGCTCTCTTGCGGCCTTTTTGGGACTCTCTTTGGCCGTCTTGGTGCGGTTTGGGCGCCTGTTTGGGCTGCTCGTGCCGTCGGAAATTCGAAGAGGCAAGAAGGCCCAACACTTTACAAAGCTTAGGCAAATCAATTAGTTTGGCTTCTTGAAGCCCGGTTGGGAGGCCTCTTGGGAGTCTCTTTGGTCGTCTTTGGCGTTTCTTGCTTTGTCTGGAGACCATCTGGACGCGGCTTGGGGCCATCTGGGGCCAGCTGGAAGCCATCTTGGGCTGTCTTGGAGCTTCTGGGTGTCATGTCGACGCCGTCGGGCGCCATCCAGCAGAATTTCTGGAGCAATTTACTCCCTCCGGGGTCTGTGGGGGACCCTCTGCGAGGCTTCTGGGGCCGTCTGGGAGCGGGTTTGGGAGCCTCTTGGGCCGTCGGGGAGCATCGGAAAGATCCAAAGCTGAATTTCTAAAAAATGTACATTTCACGAAGGGAATGGCCCAATTTTTGCGTCTAGGGTGCCTTGTGGAACGCATCTCGGAGGCCCTCGGGGGGGGCTCGTGGGGACCTCTTCTGCCGTCGAGGACGCCTCGTGGCCCGTCTTCGGGCCAACTTGGACGTCTTGAGCGCTCGTGGGGCGTCCCAAACCCATTTCGAGGCCACCAGAAGCGTCCCTACACGATTTTCACGCGTTTTTCCACGACTTTCGAGAGCGGATGAGACCTCCGGGGGGTCCCGGGCCGCCCGGGGCCGTCCGGGGCCGTCCGGCCGGACCCCCCCCCCTCCAAATGGACCGGACCGGGCTCCCGGGGGAGGGGTTTGGGGGGGGAACATATCACACGCCGATGAACCCCAAGGGGCCGTCTTGGACGTCAGTTGGCCCGTCTTGGGGCCCTCGAGGGTTGTGTAGGAACCCTCTTGGAGGCGTCTTGGGCCGTCTGGGAGCGGGTTTGGGGGGCTCTGGGGCCGTGCAGGAGCGGGGGACACCCCCAAAGGCGCACGTGTGAAAAAGATACGTTTTACGAAGGAAACGAGCGATTTTTTGCGTCTAGAGGGCCTCTTGGGGGGAATCTTGGATGGCCTGGGGGGGCGTCTGGGGAGGCCTCGTGAGCCGTCGGGAGGTCGTCGTCGATGTTTCTGATCGCTCTTGGACCGTCTGGGACCATGTGGAGCTTCGTGGAGGCAACTCGGAGCGCTCCTGGAACGCTCTTGGGGCCGTTTTCGGAGCCCTCTTGGGCCGTCTTGGACGCCTGTTGGCCCATCTTGGGCCCTCTAGGGGTCTGTGGGGGACCCTCTGCGAGGCTTCTGGGGCCGTCTGGGAGCGGGTTTGGGAGCCTCTTGGGCCGTCGGGGAGCATCGGAAAGATCCAAAGCTGAATTTCTAAAAAATGTACATTTCACGAAGGGAATGGCCCAATTTTTGCGTCTAGGGTCCCTTGTGGAACGCATCTCGGAGGCCCTCGGGGGGGCTCGTGGGGACCTCTTCTGCCGTCGAGGACGCCTCGTGGCCCGTCTTCGGGCCAACTTGGACGTCTTGGAGCGCTCGTGGGGCGTCCCAAACCCATTTCGAGGCCACCAGACGCGTCCCTACACGATTTTCACGTGTTTTTCCACGATTTTCGGGAGCGGATGAGACCTCCGGGCCGCCTGGGGCCGTCCGGCCGGACCCCCCCCCCCTCCAAATGGACCGGACCGGGCTCCCGGGGGAGGGGTTTGGGGAGGGGGAACATATCACACGCCGATGAACCCCAAGGGGTCGGCGGATTTTGGTCTCTTCGGGCCCTCCTGGAGGACCTCTTGGAGGCCTCTTGGGCCGTCTTGGAGGCCTCTTGGGGGCCTGTTGGGCCGTCTTGGTCAATATTGACGCCATTTTAGGCCGTCTTGGAGGCAGCTTGGGCCGTCTTGGAGGCCTCTTGGGGGGCGAAGCTATCGGACCATGTGTTCCCCGAGTCGGTTTGGAAAGCATTCGGGGAACACGTGGGGGAGGAAGAGGAAGAGGAGGAGAAGGAGGAAAACGGAGAAGGGGGAGGATGCCTCTTCGGAGCCTCTTGAGGCACTCTTGGGCTCGATTGGGCCATCTTGGGACCGTCTTGCTTGCAGGCCATGCTGGTGCTATCTTGGGCTCTCTTGGAGCCTCTTGAGGGCCTCTTGGGGCCTTTTTGGGACTTCTCGGGGGCCTTTTTGGCCGTCTTAGGGCGTTCCTGGCCCGTCTGACGCCGTCGGGAGCCGTCTTGGGGGCCTCTTTGAACCGGCTTGGGGCCCTCTTGGGGCGCTTCGGGGCCGTCTTGGAGGCCATCCTTTGCGTCTTGGAGGCCTCTTGGCCCGTCTTGGGGCCCTCTTGGGGCCGCCTTGGGGGCCTCTTGGGCCGTCATGTGGCCATCTTCGAGGCCTCGTGGGCGATCTTGGGGCGATCTTGGGGGCCTCTTGTGCCATCTTGAGCCGTCGGAATGCCGAGAAGAAGCAAATGCCAAATTCCTTCAAAAACCCAAGGATAACCACTGATTTTGGCCTCTTCGGGCCCTCCTGGAGGACCTCTTGGAGGCCTCTTGGGTCGTGTTGGGCCGTCTTGGATGCTTCTTGGGCGAACTTGGAGGTATCTTGGACTCTCTTGGGCCGTTTTGGAGGCCGTCTTGGATCATCTTGGACGGACTTGGAGGCCATCTTGGACAATCTTAGAGGCCGTCTTGGGCCAACGTGGCCATCTTGGAGGCCATCTTGAGCCGTCTTGGAGGATTTTTCCGGGATTGAGATTCCTTTCGGGTGGCCGGCGGGACGGGCCGAAGCCGCCCCAGGGGGAGTTCTT